CTTGGTGAGGAACGGAACACTGAGTACGAGCGACAAAACACAGTCGCTGTTTACGGTTTACAAGCGACAGACTGAAGTAGGCCATTAGAGATAATGACTGGAGTCGCCGCTAACAATATATAAAGATGTATGCAGTCAATTGATCGATAAACCTCGTTGAATGAACAAAACAGTTTCGTTTTGTACGTGTGACTGCCTTCAATTAAGTCCGACAATACTGTACTGTTTTGTGAAAATTAAGATCTCAGCCAGATTTGATCCATCGAACCTATAGTACGGGTTTAAAAGAAATGTTGATATGCGTTAGATAAAAGCGAAAAAATACCTTCCTCCTATGGCATCGCGAGTCCTAACCACGCAAAACTGTAACAAATAGAACAGAAAAAAAACATATGTTGTTCGTCACGTGTTGTGCTGAACGACAGGCTGAATTTGCTTCACAAAACGTCTTTGCAATTGGGGATTTTTGTGAAACGGTATCGCCACATATTGTAAATACCAACCGGTTGTTAATGTCTAGATTTACCTATTTTCTTTCAAGAGGTCGAATTTATCCTAGCAGTCTTCGAGGTACTACTTCAGCACTCGTGATGTTTCTATTGTCAATATCACCTGAGTTGTATGTCCCTCAGTCGAGGGTGAATTCCGCACCATTCTGTTCTTTCAGGAGCTGGCATTGACATCGACGCTCTCGGTGCACTGTATCCAGTTCCTCATCTTCCATCGAGCGCTTTGCTTTTAGATCTGCGAGCTTCGCGATTATCTGAGATCATTTTTCCCGTGTTTTGGACCTTCTGATCCCATATGCCCTTTTAGTTTTTGGGTTTTTCGATGCAGCCTCTCCCTTCTCTTCTGACTGCATTCAGCACCGAAAGTGGAGAGGGGGAGCACCAGTTCTCGTCATCTTCATTCAAATGAGTCATTGTGTTCTTTGACGGCACAGTGAAAACGTGAAATGTGCTCGTTTCCCGGATTCTCTTTATTTTTGCAACAACAACCGTTTCCCCACAAAATGAATTGGGGAACAACCGGTCACATTGAATTCGGATCTGATGGCCCCAATTTCTGTAGGTGTTCCATCTTGGTCGACTTTAGAACATGACAATCATGTAAAACACAATCAATCGGAGTCATTCGAGTGAAAGCAGTTTCAACCATGAGGGCGCTTTGATTGCTTGGTGTTCGGAAATGGATTTCACGCATTTGGCGCTTATCTGACGCATTAAAACCATCCACAACCTACATACATACTTGGGCGTTGTGTTCGGAGGTCTGGTGAGGAACCCGAATATCCACTTGCTGAAGAACAGACAGATGGACGACATCGTACGTATCTCCTGGCAATTGTGAATTTGATGAATTCTGTAGACCCCAAATCGGTATCAATCCAACTAGCAGATGGTGTTTAAACTGAACGCACGAATCGTGAATTCCATGCGCTGCCTATTTCGACTATTCCAGAATAGTTTAATCTACAGGAGAACTATATGATACTGCGCCTAGCTGGCACTGTGGACGAACGCATTGGACTACTACAATAAGTAACGATCAACAACTCCCGGACGCGTAACTTCTCATCAAGCTCCATTATGATAGAAGAATAAGTCGTTTCGTGAAGCAGAAAGGTGTTGACAATGTACAGTCAGTACGTCCCTCCTCGCTCGAGCATACTTGGGAATTAATACACATTGGTTACCTCCTTGTTAGGAATCAGCAGCAATGCATATCTAATGAATGAGGATTCGACACTGGACGCCCACACTTTAGGTTATATCCGAAATCTTCAGTATGATCGGGGGTGAGTTTCTAGGGTTGCGGTTGGTCACTCGTCCCTTGCTCCTCGCGAAATGCTCCCTTATAACCTAGAGTCTCAAATAACCTGTGCTGAGGAAGTTTTACTCACTGCCCTCTCGTGGCGGAGGTGGTTTCCCACCAAAGTGGGAGGACGAATGGCCGAAACCCGGGTTGTTGGACCACTGGTAGTTCATTTGGGGGAAGTGGCCGAAAACCTTGAATCCAAACCCACCTAGAGGAAGCGTACGAACCACACCCACACCTTCCCAGTTGTGGCAGTAGTCAACGGCTCAATCGGGTATTGAAGTTAATTGGGCACCTCGGACGTTTGACCCCGTCTAAAGGGCGTATGATCCGATGAACTGAACACCGGCCCCCAATGGACTGCAATTTTCGCATACCACCCCGCTACCTTGCGGGTCAGGCTTTGGCTAGCCAAAGGCTCCGGGTGTGGATCTCACAATAAAATTCACCTGCCTTGTCCTGGGCAACCTAGTAGTATTCAGCCCACATGCAAGTCATGGAACGTTTTTTTCTATTTCATAAAAATTATTGTACGATTGTTTGTTTGGCACACAGTCTGGCGTCAGACGAGTGTGAAATAAAATATATAATAATTGCCAAACAAACAAAGTAGATTAAAGTCCTTCATTAATGACCATCGTCGGGGTCTTTAATAAGCAAACAACACCTCTCACTTCTTTGATAAGCTCTATGTCTGAATGTGAAAATTATGGTCATTTTGATGCCGTTTTACATTACCCACACACCATCAGTGAAACAGTGAGAGCTCGAGTCTCTGTGTCTGAGTGGCCAAAAGATACTTGCTTTGTGCAGTTATTTTTTGTTCACTTCAGTGCTTGCAGTTCGCCTCATGTTTGGACAAATGAGAACGGGTGTGCATCATCTAAACCTGTTTCGGTGCGGTACAGTAATACCGTAAGAGCGTACAAATGTAGAGAATAGAAGACTTGTAGACCCCCAAGTCTCCTGGGGTCTACAACGGATAAGAAGAATTCATTGATCTCAAACTCGCTTCAGTCAGTTAGAACACACAGATCAAGGTTTGTAGTACAACAAACAATGACCTAGATATCTTCACCCGATTCGTGTGAACTTGCGAGTCCGTGAGAATGAACGTACGACTACCGGTTGTCGATATCACCTCGAACGGTGGATAGTGTGACCTACAGCAGAACTTCGTGAGGCGTGTTCGGACAGCTCCAATAAAACTAGTGTGTATGTGAGGAAGAAGACGAAGAACGCAGGATAAACGAGACATTTGGCGATTTAATGCTCACCCATCTCAACAGATGGCAATCAAACCACCGGTGAGGGCACACAAAAACAAGGAGGATGGAAGGGGGAAAAGTGTACGCGTCCGGCCGAGAGAGCGTACAAAAGTGAGCGGATGGGTCAGTTTCCACTGAAGGAAACTGCGTGACTGTGTGAGACCAGGAACGCAGCTCTGATGTATGTACGAAATCAGGGAACGGGTGAACTAGAAATCAAAAGGGAAAGGGCGGACTGTATTTTTGAA